GTTCGAATGCTCCAGGAGATCCTCTCCTTCGAAGATAAATCTCTAAAAACCCCCAAAAAATCATCCTCTCGGATTCCAACGATGAAATCTTCTCAGAACTCCTTGAAAACATCGAGAACATTATTAGAAAAGCTAGCAAACATCTCGGACTCCTCGATCCCTTCGACATCATCTTCTAGGAGCGAGAGAAATCCCAGAGCCTCGAGGATCCCCTCAAAAATTATCAAACAACTGCAAAATCTTGAGACTCAGACCCCGAAGATGTTGGAAAAATCCCAGAGTATCCAAACAGTTTTGGAAACCAAAAGGCAGTTGAGTATCACCACAGAAACAACAGCTCCAACTTCTGCTGACGTTGGAATTTCCTCTGATGATCTTGATCTGTCCTCTTCTCCAGATCCCCAGATTACAAAACAGAATAATAAACAATTGGTGGACGTGGAGATCTCCTGCAAAGTCGACGCAATTCCCTCGACTCCAGAAAATGAGGGAAATTCAAAGAAAATTTTATTAACTGAGACTTCATCTTCTGTTAAAATCCTAAAAGTCATCCAGACTCAGACCTCAAGATCGTTTTTATTGGACTGCAGTGGAGATAATGGAGAAGAGAAAAATATTTTGATGGGCAAGATGAGGCTGAAGCTTCCCTGTAAAGAAATAAATACTGATAAACGTATCTTAATCGATTCAGCAACTGGAAAAGATCGATTAGAAATTCAAAATTTCTGTTGCGAGTCTCAATTAACAAACACCGATGCCCCATTAATCTATCCGATTAATTACGTGATGAAGAAAGATGCGAATCATCAGGTCGATGCCATCAGGAGTTTAATGAATATTAATGCTGATGATTCTGGGGGATTGAAAGGGGAATTTGACATGTGTGAGAGCATTGTTTCGTCGATCTCGAAGGAACTTATGAGCTCGAGAAGATCTTTAATCGAGAGTTGTGAGAAATTATCGAGTGAATTCGTTCAGAAGCAGGAGGAAATAGTGAGGATTCCCAGAGAAGTCATCAGGGCATTCGAGATTGCTGAGGACAGAGCGAGAAATTTGTGTCGAGCCATCGAGATCTATCAGGGGAGTTTAAAAAAGAACGAGGGGAAAACCCAAGAGAGATGTGAGGGAAATGAATCTCTTGAGAAAATTCTGGAGCAGAAGATCAAAGAGGAAGAGCTTGGGGTAACGAATAAAATCGAAAAAAATTTCGAGGAGAACAGGATGGGGGAACGGTTCATGGAGGATCTGAAAGTATTTTTAATGCAACAGGATGTCAAGCTGGTGGTGGAGGATATCGTGAAGGCAGTGGACAAGAGGATTTCGAAGGAAAATTTGAAAAAAGACGAAATTAGATCCTGCGGTGTGGAATCATCTTCCGAGGCAGTTCTCATGAATAGAGCGAATATTCTACCGATTATTTATGGCGCCCTGTGCTCTCTTGTCTTCTGGTCCCTTCAGTTTTCTATGAGCTGTGATATGTCATGATTTTTTAATGATTAATAGATGAATAAATGATGTTTTGTAGAACCATCCTTCAGTGGAATGGTAAAACGAGAT